TTGGCAGCAAGCACTGGCCTTGTTCCATGACATTACTTTGGCGACTTTGAAAGCAAGCGTTATCAGCTTCAATGCCACCATCAGCGCTTGCGAAACTACTGAGCAGTGGCAGCAAGCACTAGGCTTGTTCCATGCCATACCTAAATCGAGGGTGCAGCCAAGTGTGTTCAGCTTCAGCGCTGCCATTAGTGCCTGCGAGAAAGCACGGAAATGGCAGCAGGCGCTTGCCTTGCTTTGCTTAATGGAGGCAGCGAACGTGAAAGCAAACGTTATTTGCTTCAATTCGGCCATCAGCGCTTGCGAGAAGGGTGGCCAGTGGCAACGTGCACTGGCCTTGTTTCAGCATCTCGTTCACGCAAAGCTGCAAGCGACCATTGTGAGCTTCAACGCCATCATCAGCTCCTTTGAAAAAGGATGCCAGTGGCGTCAGGCCTTGGCCTTCTTCGCTTCCATGCCGGAAGCAGAGGCGGAAGCCGATGTCATCAGCTTCAGCGCAGCCATCAGCAGCTGCGAGAAAGGCGCCTGGCGCCAGGCTCTGAGCCTTCTGCTGGCCATGCCGGAGGCCAAGGTGAAAGCCAATGTCATCAGCTTCAATGCCACCATGAGTGCTTGCGAAAAGGCCGGGGCCTGGCAGCAGACGCTGGCCTTGTTTCAGACCATGTTTGAAGAAGAAGTGATAATCAACGTTGTCAGCTTTAGTGCAGCCATTAGTGCCTGTGAGAAAGCTGGCCAGTGGCAGCAGGCGCTGGCCTTGTTCTTTGACATGCCATCAGCCAGCGTGCAAGCAAACATTGTTAGCTTCAATGCGTCCATCAGTGCGTGCGAAGCAAGTGGGCAATGGCAACGGGCTCTGGCTTTGCTTCACGCCATTCCCGCAGTACAGGTTCAAGCGAACGTTGTCAGCTTTAGCTCAACCATCAGCACTTTCGAGAAAGCTGGGCAATGGGAACAGGCGCTTGCCTTGTTTCATATCTTGCCCGAATCAACGATTCAAGCGAATGTCATCACCTTTGGTGCGGCCATCAGCTCTTGCGAGAAAGCTGGCCGTTGGCAGCATGCGCTGTCGATGTTTCAAGCCATGTTTGCAGCCAGGCTACAGCCAAACGCCATCATTTTCAGTGCTGCCATCAGCGCTTGTGAGAGAGGTTGGCAGTGGAAGCAAGCGCTGGCCTTGTTGCATGCCCTTGCTGGCATGTAGGTTAGCTTAAAAATGCCGCGTCAGGTCACCAGACCAATGCCAGCATCAGGCCCTCAGCGCAACGCACGAGACGTGGGCTGAGTGCGTGGCGTGTAGCTGCCAGGTTCAACACAATGGCTGCCCGGGAAAAACAGGAAATTCAAAACGCAACAGGCAACGCGATGGAACGTGTGCGTTATATACATGACGTTGAACCAGGCTTGGTGGGTCATAGCAGTCAGAGCAGTGCATTCCAAATTGAAAAGAAGCCTGCATTGGTCTCTTTTTTTACCGGACGCATACCTCTCTGCAAATTAAAACAACCTGGAAATCGGGAGATTCCTCCAAATAGTCTGCTTGTGCTGGTTCCAAATCAATCTGAAGGGGAGTAAAAGCTAAGCGATGATGTGTGGCAGCATGGGCCCCTTCGGCCCTGTACTGCATGCAACACATCGTGGCCATGCTGGACACGCGCACTTGAGCTGAGTAGCTGACGATGGCACTTAGCAAGCTTGACATGCCACGGCTGCGGTGCAATCTGAGGGCACTGTCACAGACCACCGCTCACGCCGACTTGCCGCTGCTGAGTAGGGCGACAACGTGTTTGTCTGGGCATTGCCAGGCATGCCGAGCAGACAATGGGAACAGCAGGGCTTGCTTTTTTGTTTTCCTTGGTGATTTCTGTATGGTTTGTTGCTCTGTGTTCCTCAGCGGGGCAGGCTTGCAGGATTGTTTACAAGGATCCTTAACAAACTATGTTGATCTTGTTGTTTGACGTGTTTGTGTCACATGAGACGGTGGTGCACCTGCAGTCGGGATGAGCAATTTTGCTCAAACTTGGTTTCTGGAGGCAAGGTCGCGTGAAATGTGTTGCTTTTTTGGGAAATGGGAGTGATCCCCCTCAGCGCATCTCAGCGCAGCCCGTCCACCATCTAACATATGTTGTCAAACTGCGTGTCTTACCTTAGCTGCATTAGGGCAACTATCAGTTAAGCAGTTAAGCATATCAATGGCGCATCATGCTAGTAAACATTGCAGCTCAGATGGCTTGCATTTGATCCGGCATGTCCTGAGGGTTGTTCCATGTGGCGTGGATTAGGGGGCCATCAAAATGCCAGACTTCCCTTCAAGCAACCACTCAAACCAGGACCCCTCCCATTTTGAACACACCCATGCCATGCTGTTCCTTGTAGGGGTGTGAGGCTTGAGACTGCATTTCTTTTTGCTGGCGCCATCTGCATTTCATTCGCCTTGGTTTCTGTGAGGGCACGCGAGGCTTTGAATTTGTGTCAGCTGTCGCCTTGCCATGGAGCAGCGACTGCCATGCACAGGCCATACTTTTGACAGGCCTTTGACTTTGAGACCAAAGCCTTCAGGAAATCCGTGTGAGGCGAGTGCGCCAACCGTGGCTGCTGCAGTCCAAAATGTTGGGAAAACCTCGGGTTTCGCACTTTGCGGGTCCAGGCGGGCAAGCCACAGAAGTATCCAGCAGGAGAGGTTGGCGCTTTGCAGCCTGGGCCCTCCACCCTCAATGCAAGAAGTGCAGGCTGTTTTGGACAAGCTTGACTGGCAGGCTTTGCCAGTGAGGCAAGTTGTGAGTCGACTGGCGGACGCAGCTCGTGCAGACATTTTACTCGTTGCACTCCAGGCGCTGCTTGCGAATCAATCTGCACTGGACACGAGGGACTTGAACTTTGCAATCTCGAAGTGTTCGAAGCTCCAAGAGTGGCGATACGCTTGTGAGCTGCTTGCAGCTGCGCGGTCGGCGCAGGTAAGAGCAGACACGTGCACTTTCAATTCTTCCATCAGCGCATGCAAGGAAGGCGGGCAGTGGGAGCAGGCGCTGGCTCTGTTTCAAGCTTTGCTTACAACAAAGCTGCAAGCAAACGAAGTCAGCTTTAATGCCACCATCAGCGCGTGCGAGAGAGGCAAGCAATGGCTGCAAGCGCTAGCAGTCTTTTATTCCATGCGTCGAGCAAAAGTAAATCAACATGTAATTAGCTTCAACGCGGCTATCAGCGCTTGTGAGAAAGCTGTGCAATGGCAGCAAGCTCTGGCCGTACTTCACTCGATGCCCCGAGCAGAGGTGCAAGCCGATGTTATTAGCTTAAACGCCACGATCAGTGCCTGCGGGAAAGGCAGGCAGTGGCAGCAGGCGCTGGCCTTGTTCCAGGCCATGCCTCAGTTCAAAGTGCAAGCAAACATCATCAGCTTTAGTTCAGCCGTCAGTGCGTGCGAGAAAGGTGGCCAGTGGAAGCAGGCCCTTGCCTTGTTCCATGCGTTGCCTCAAGCAAGGGTACAGGCAAATGTGATCTGCACGAATTCTGCCATCAGCGCGTGCGAGAAGTGCGAGCAGTGGCAGCAGGCGCTCGCCTTGTTTCAGATCATGCAAGGAACGAGCATGCAAGCCAGCAGAATTAGCTTCAACGCCGCCATCAGTGCTTGCGCAAAGGGCAGGCAGTGGCAACAGGCGCTTGTCGTATTCTTGACTTTGCCTTCAACAAAGATGCGGGCAAATGACATTAGCTTTAATGCGACCATCAGCGCATGTGAGAAAGGTGGACAATGGCAGCATGCGCTGGCTGTATTTGAGTCCATGCCTCAGGCACGGGTGCAAGCAGATGACATTAGCTTTAATGCCACCATCAGTGCTTGCGAGAAAGCTGGCCAGTGGCAGCAGGCGCTGGCCTTGTTCCATGCCATGCCTCACCTAAAAGTGCAAGCAAACATCATCAGCTTTAGTTCAGCCATCAGCGCGTGCGAGAAAGGGGGCCAGTGGCAACACGCTCTCGCTTTGTTCCATGCCCTGTTCCAGGCAAGGGTGCAAGCAAATGTGTTTAGCTTCAGCGCGGCCATCAGTGCGTGCGAGAAAGCTGGACAGTGGCAGCATGCGCTGGCCTTGCTCCGCGGAATGCTTGAAAAGCAGGTGCGAGCAAATGCTGTCAGCTTCAATGCCACCATTAGCGCGTGCGAACTAAATGGGCAGTGGCAACAAGCGCTTGCCTTGCTGCTCACCATGCCTGCAACCAAGATACAAGGAAACGTTATTAGCTTCAGCTCGGCCATCAGTGCGTGTGAGAAAGCTGGACAGTGGCAGCATGCGCTGGCCTTGTTTTGCGGCATGAAAGAAGAACAAGTACGGGCAAACGTCGTCAGCTTCAATGCCACCATCAGTGCTTGTCAACAGCATGGGCAGTGGCGGCAGGCGCTAGCCCTATACGACACCATGCCGGCAGAACAAGTAGAAGCAGATGTCATCAGCTTGAGCGCGGCCATCAGCGCTTGCGGGCAAGGCAGGCAGTTGCAACACGCGCTGCGCTTGTTGCACGCCATTGGGGGCATTCTGCAATGACATCTTGCGCGAAATCCGGACGCATACTTGAAAGACCTGGCGCGCAACTGTTCGGTGCAATATGGACCTGGGCTCTGCGTTGAGGCCGTGACGGGCCAACTTGCAGCGCCATGGTGGCTGTCAGCCAAAAATGAAAAGGTGCCCGAGCCGTTTGCAAGTACAACTAGCCATACATCAAGCATTGCCAGACTGGGCGTTTTAAAGTTTTGACACATTGTTTCCAGTCAGTTTCTGGTTGCAGTCTCGCGGTCGGCCTGCCCAGGCTGTTTGGCCAGAAAATGACTGGACATATGACAAAACAATCCTCAATGTTGACCCCAGATGAATAGACCGGTCCTATGTTTATCGCGGGGTGTTCCTCCAAAAGTGGTCTGAATCCCCACTCAAAGGGGACATCCTAGGGGCGGTGCTTAATCCCTCGTCAACATTCGGTTTTTTCCCCTCCTCCTTTCGGTAGCCGTGAAACCGCAGGACAACGGCCAGGGCTACCGCACGGTGAGCAAGGAGGTGATCAGTCTGGCGCGCACGGGGCGCTTGCCGCTTTCGGAGGTTGCCCCCAAATGCTGGGGCTGCTGGTGGCTCTTTGCCACAAAAGATGTTGCATAAGTTGGATTGGATGACCTAATTCGAGGTCAATCAGGTCCTAAGACAATGTGTCAGTGCAGATGCTGGCTCCCAGGAGTAAAATCCGATTGTTTCGCCGAAAATGCCCGCGCGGTGACACATCCCCTTCAAAATGGCGTGCACCCCCTATTCATCAACCAGGGGTCAATGTTCATCTTGGGTTCCTTTCGAGAGCCAGGGGTCCAAGCTTCCCACTTCCCCACCCTCGTGGCTCGCTTTAAAGTTGTACTGCCCCCAGATAAGTGAATCGGTCGATTTTGATTGGGGGTGTCCCCTTGTAGTGGGGGTTCATACCACTTTGGAAGGGAACCACCCCCGAAAAATATCAAAGAAGTTGTCATATATATTTTCTTTTTCCCGGGGATCAAGGCGTCACTTCGGTTTCTCCGGTCGCCAGGTCACGGCCTTCCCTTCCACCTTGGCGGTGGCAGCGACCTGGGACCGCAAGCTGGGCTTCGCGTGGGGCCAGGCGAAGCCGCGCGGTTTCGGGCCCCCGCCTTCGGCGATTCGGCCGGTGGATCCATTTGCTTAAGAAGATGTTTCCTCGGGTTTCAAAGGAAAACGGTTTCACTACAGTAAATATAAAATTGTGATTAGCCATGATTCATTTCATCAACAGGGATGTCGCGGTAGTGACTGACCTGTGATGTTTGGCTCAAGTTTGCGGGTCCGTCGCGCCTCGGATGAGCGTCGCCGGGTCCCCGCGTCGATCACCTTCGTGTCGGTGGAGAAAGAGACATCGGCCCGGGGCAGATTGGTGGGGTCCGCCCGTGCGGTTCATCGTCGATCGAGGTTGCGGGTACTTGTTTACTTGTTTTGGTATTTCCCTTTTGGTTGTTGTTCTCTGGTGTGTGGGCAACCCTGATCTTTGGGACCGGGGATTGGTTTGCTTTTGGGGAACCTTTCTTTTGTGGCTTGTTTACCCCAACTTACCCATTGCCTGGGCACAGGCTCGTGCCCGAATCACAGGTTATCAGCCGTAGGACTTTCCTACGCGCTTGAGACCATCAACTACAAGCTCTATGTCGACCCCACGATCACACAGGAGTGTCGTGGATGAGGAGGCCATCCTAGGGGGCCTCCGCTCAGGTGAGGACCTACCGGACTATGACTACGAGGATTTCGAAGCAGGTTCGACAGGTCAGGACCGCAGGGGTGAAGATCCCGGTAGGGACACACCCAGGAGCCGTGGCAGGTACACCGACGATGGAGACGATCGTATTTTCCGTCAGGCCACTGATGATGAACAGGCACAAAGAGTTCGCTCCGGTAGGAGCGGCTCTGAGTCAGATCGCAGGCGCGGACAGTTCGACTTCATCAGCATGGCGATGAACATGGCCCGCCCTCATTCGGACGACCCGGAGGCCATGCCGACCCGACCCCCGAGATCTCTCATTCCAGGTGAATCGCAGGTCTCGGATGCGTTTGAGGATAGGCCGCAGGGACCAGGGACTATGGTTTTGGCTCCGAGAGATATCTCGGGTCGATCCACTGGTTCTCAAAATCCAGGTCAGTTTGATGAGCACGAGGAGCGGAAATTCACAGGCTTCGGATACGATGCTCTGTTGAAATCAACCGCAGGGGCAGTAGCTCAAAGCAGGGGTCTGATGCCGATAGGCCCAACCCTAATACTGCCAAGTCTGAGTTTGATAATGGCGAAGATTACAATTTTGCGGATGAGGAGGAGGACCATTCGCGCCGAAGGGCAACCGCGCTGCTGCAAGGCCTAGCCCTGCCGCTGCCAAGTTTGAGTTCAGTGATGATGATGAGTATGCCGCATTTGCGGATCGTCGTGATGAGGAAGAGGACCAATCACGCCGAAATGCTAGGAGCCGTGCTGCTGCGAGGCCTAGGAGCCTCTCTCGTGGAGCCGCCAGGGACCTTCGTGTTGACAGGGACACCCGAAGCGAGAGAGAGAGAGCCAGGGATAGTCGGGAAGTTCTTCGGGGATTGGAGGCCATCCATGACCGGGAGGGACCGATAGGTCCTCCAGTGGTTGGTGATACCCCGAACGTTCCCCCTTTTCCCAACATCACATTTGGAGGTCCGTTGAATCAGAGAGACGAGAACTCGAACCGGGTTACTGGTTCGCCGAGGATCACTGAACGGGCTGCCGATGTCGTTAGGACAGGTGCCAGAGATGGTCACTTGCCGATGCACTTGGAATCGAAGATCGTCCGTCGATCGCTAGCCCGTTAGGGCGAGATCCCAGTGACCTCGAAACACTAAGGTCTAGCAACGAGTTCACACCTCAATGGGGGTCAACTGCCAGGGAGCGTAGTGCTTCCTCGAAGAGGCCGTCGCCCCTGGCCATTGAGACCGATAGGTCAAAGGCGAGGAGGGCTAGCCCTTCACCGTTAGGTTCAACCCAGCAGGATGAAGAAATGTTCGACCCTGCTGATGTTCATATCCATTCTACTCCAGAGTCCCGTGCATCTAATATTGATCCCCGATCTGGCGATAGCCGGAGAAGGGGATCAACCCCGAGTAGGCCATCCAGGATTGATGATAGTCCTGTAGGCGACCCCAGAAGACATGCCAGAGCTAGTGGGGCTCCTGAGAGGATCGAGATATCGACTCCTCCGGCCCACAGATCCCATTCTTCCGGTGAGTCAGGTGACGCTAGGGCAAAGGAGGTGTTTGATTTGCACATCCAGTGAGATGCTCGAGAGAGGTGAGGTGTCTGGTTCAGTCGCGAAGGCGTTCCATATCTTTGCTGACCAAATCAGGTTACTGAACGGTCAGGTGGGTTCCATGCGAAAGGAGTGGAGCGACGAGAATCAGCAGACGAAGGACAGGGTCAGTCGTTTGGCTAATGAGATTGCCACTCAGTCTGATGCCGATAGGATGCGAATGATAGTTCAGCGGTTTGCCGGCGAAGTTATCCCTGACAGCAAGGCCATCGTGAGGCAAGCTATTGACGAACAGGCTGAGATTGTGGATCAGAGGATCAACCTGCTTTCCCGCGGAATTCATGAATCCGTTAAGGAAAATGAAATCGCGAATAACCAACTTCGTCAGGTCATTCAGGAAAATCATCAGGCCATCCGCAGGAGCCATGCTGCCTCTGAGGATGAGGTCCTTAAAGACTTGGACAAGATTGAGAAGCGACTCTTCAAAATAGAGAAAGCCATCGGGATGCGGACGCCGGCAGGTGAACTGACTGCGCAATTGCCCGATAGGGCTGCCAGCAGTGGGGCGGACGCGAATCTCAGGGAACTAAACCTGAGGCTCGAGAAGATCCTTGTTGAGCACGAGAAGTTCGCTAAGTGGGCCTCCGAGTCCATTGGTGGCATCAATGAGGAGCAGATTATCCTTGCTGATAGAATGTCGAGGCTGCAAAGCGGAAGGGGGTCCCAGGCGGTCGATAGACCATCAGGGCCTGATTCCCCGCAGGACTGGCATGAAGCAATAGACGAGGTCAATCAGAAGATGCAGGATCTAGCTCGTGGAATTCAACGCCAACGTCGGGATCATGACGATGTCATTGCGAGGTTTGAGACCGTGAAGTCCCGTGTTGAGCAGTACGAGGCGAGTTCAGCAATTCTGAATCAAGTTCTTGATGATATCAGGAGACAGATTCGTAACCTCCCGGCGAGTAGTGAGCAAGCACGATCCGCCGTTAGGCGCGAGCTGGATTCATTCCGCAACTCGCAGGAAGCCTCGATGCGGAGGATTACTACTGTTGAGAGTAACATGCGTACTCTGAATGACATGAACACCAAACTCATGGGCCAGCTTTTTGATATGGAGGGTCAAGTTGAGGAAGCTGCCGGCATTATTCAGGGTGTCCAGCAGATTAATGAGAGCCCTCAAGGACCCAGAGAGAGGCGGAACCCTGGGTACAACGCATTTGCTGGGCAGGGACACAGAATCAGGTCACCGACACCCACCCCTGGTGGGGGAAATGGTCGGGGTACTGATCTTCCAGCAAGGCCGAGTGGGGCTGTTGGCTTGTCCGGCCAAGCGTTGCTGACTGTGCCCGATAGGGTCGATCCTTCTCGTGCGGACATGCATCCCATTCATCCCGATAGGGAGAGGGCAGACAGCAGAAGCAGGAGAGCCCGAGGACTGCCTGACAGGTCACATTCCCCGCCGGGACGCGTGAGACGGCCCTCGCGCGCGCGCAAGGGGGGACATTTCAGTTTCTCCTAATCGGGATGTAGGTAGAAACAGGAGCCCGAGGCCTTCTGCCGTCCCCAATAGGGGATCTGATATTCGGAATCGGCAATCGAGGGGGGAAAGGACAATCCGCGGTAGCGGGAGCATATCCGCGATAGCGGGAGTGTCTCTCCGACCCCAAACCGTAATTCTGGGGGTGGTAGAGTTAGTAGGGCCCATGCCGACAACCAGAGTCCCGGCGATAGCTGGAGGACTCCTGGGAGCAGAGCTCAGGTCGATATCCAGAGTCCCGGCGATAGCTGAAGGACTCCGGCATCCGATCGTGGACAGGCCTCGGCACCGGCTGCGAGAGGTGCGCCTGGAACTGGCGGGCCAAATGCGCCGAAGATCTGTGCTCTCGACGATCCAAATGATCGTAGGCATCCAAATGCTGAATTCACGTGTGTTACATGCAGTCGTGAGTTTTGCAGGCTGTGCGAGGGTGAAGATGGAGATTGTTGCAATTGTCACTTCTTGAAGCTTAAATGTTGGGCATGCCGCAAGAATGCTCAGGAGGTTTCAATGTATCTATGCTCTGATTGCGGAAATAATGTATGTGAGGATCACATTCACTTTGGCAGTGACTGCCTTGAGCGGTGTGCGCGTTGTAATAAACGGCATGAGCGCGCTGACGCTGGACCGCCCCCTCCTCCTCCTCCCGGGGGAGGAGGTGGGCCAGGCGGACCATCCGGCCAAGGTGGAGGTGGAAGTGGTGGTCATGGACCTGCTCCATCTCCACCGCCAGGACCTGGGCATCCCGGTGGAGGCCAAGGTCCCGCTGGTGGCGGGGCTCCAACCGGGGGATACCCTGGGTGGAGCGTCCGGATTTTATGGCACTGCTGCCTCATGGGGCTGAGAACAACCAATGTGGTTCGAGTTTCTATGGTCCAGCCTTTGGGGGTGGCGTCTACAATCAAGGCGTCGGGGCCGGCGTTAGCCAGCAAGGCGTTACTCCAGGTTACCCTGCGAGCATTGGGCATGCCAGCAACCCCGGAGCGAGTCCGTGTCATGGCTACAGTGTCAGCGGGGCCGGTAGGCCAGGAGATGGCGGTCTTCTTCCTGAAGCAATCAGGGGAGATGACGGGCGGGACAAGTGCACTAAATGTGGCCTTAGAGTCCCCGTTACTGGCCCTCCTCTGGTCCCATGTGTTGGTTGCGGAATGAGGGCTTGTGATGTGTGCTGTCCGCCGCCAGCTAGGTTGTGTGAGAGCTGCAGGATCACGTCATGTACCCCGATAGGGGCCCTGATTTCGTCTGTTGCAGACAAGGATCGGTACCATCACAAATGCAACACTATCACGTTGCCTC